AAATCATTAACAAGTTATTAAGAGCTCAAATTTCGGGATTATATTAGGACGAGAGCTGTTGAGGAATGTATTTATTTTCATTATGATATTTCAAAATTTAAAGCCCTTTGATTTTTTTCTCGGAAACTGGAAGAATTTAAAACTTTAAAATCTATGCATATTCTAGATATTATTGCCTAATATATTTTGCCAAAATTTTAATTTTTTTAAAAAATTACGCTCTTTAAATAAATAAACGTTACAATAAAGAAAGTTATTTTGGATTATGTACATGTTGAAATAACAACTTTACAACAATACTAATAATTTAACAGATGGGGTATATTTATACTGTACCTTCTTTGGATTAAATTGCACAGTTCTTCTACTATATACAGATGGCACAGTTTGCTTCTTTTTTTTTGTGCACAATTCTTGACTAGTATTTTTTGGTTTTATGGCTAATATTTATTACTTTTTAATAAATTATCCTATTCTTAGCATAGTTTTATGATGAGTTTGATCTCTTGTAATTTCGTGTGAAGATAGGACGAGATGAGCATGATTCTCTCATTGGATGTGGCATTTATGGATATTCTTCCGGGAGGGGCCATAGTAATTAAGCAATAATCTGAAAAAAAATGACAATGTTTAATTTTTTTTTTTTGTTACAGGTACGTTTATCATTGGTGACTGTTAATTTGTCATTTCTGCTTTTTGTAATGGGGTAAGTTTGTGTATATACGAGGTCTGTAAATTAAGTAATGAGACTGATTTTTTAAAAATTTTTATACAAAAAGAATTACAATTCAATATTGTCACCTTCAAAATAACTTCCTTCTGAGGCTACACAGCGCTGGAGATGTTTCTTCCACTCCTCATAGCAGTGCTGGAACTCCGATACTGAAATAACCTTCAGCTGGTCGGTTACAGCCGTTTGAATTTTTTCGACTGTCCCAAAATGATTTCCCTTGAGGTGACTTTTCAACTTTGGGAAGAGAAAAAAGTCACAAGGATTCAAGTCAGGTAAATAAGGAGGCTGAGGAGCCACAGGAATGTTTTTACTGGCCAAAAACTCGTTTATTCAAATTGCTGTGTGACAAGGAGCATTATCGTGATGCAACATCCACTTGTTCTTGATGTTTGGTCTTACACGAATGACCCTTTTTCGAAGTCTTTCAAGAACCTCTTGGTAAAAGTGTTGATTGACCGGTTGACCTTGGGGTACAAACTCTTTGTGGACGATTCCGTGGATATCAAAAAAACAAATCCGCATGCATTTGATCTTAGACTTCGCCATCCTTGCCTTTTTTGGCCTTGGAGAGGTTGAAGTGTGCCACTCCATGCTCTGGCGCTTGGTTTCTGGGTCATACTCAAACACCCAAGTCTCGTCACCAGTAATGACACGTTCCAGAAAATGGGGGTCATTTTCTATTGAATCCAAAAAGTCAAGGCACCTTTCCTTCCTAATGTTCTTCAGGTCTTGCGAAAGGTTTTTTGGAACCATTTTTACGCAGATTTTTCTCATCCCCAATTCATTGGTCAAAATTTGATGAACGGTGGTGTGAGTCAAATTTGATTCTTCCCCTATCATTCTGACTGTCAACCGACGATCTGAACGCAAAATATCCCGTATTTTGTCGACATTTTCATCGGTTCTTGAAGATGAAGGCCTTCCGCTTCGTGGTTCATCTTCAATCGACTCTCTTCCTTCTGAAAATGCCTTAAACCACCGAAAAACCTGGGCCCTTGACAAAACACTATCTCCGTAGGCCTGCTGAAGTTTCAGAAGAGTTTCCGTTGCACTGTGCCCAAGTCTGAAGCAAAACCTGATAGCACACCGTTGCTCGAAATTGATGTCATTCATTTTTAGAACACAATAGAAAAAACTGTTTCACAAAAACAATCGCTACGCACAACCAAATGACTCGTACTGAAGGTGAATCACATGTTCCTCTGCCGCCTCACTAAGCCCCGCGCTTCCAGTGTTGCCAGATCAAACGCAACGTTGCCAGTCTCATTACTTAATTTACAGACCTCGTATGATGTAGAATAAAAAAAAAAATGAGGCAGTAAATAATAAAATGCTGCCCGCTAATTTTTAAATAATTTTTAGGAAAAACTCTCATTAACCAAATTTGTTTCTAATTTACATATAGAACATTCAAATTTTTAGCGACTAAATATTGACATGTGTGAAGATCATCCATTCTCAAATGTGAGAAAAGTATTAAATTTTGAGTCATAGTCACAGTAAATTTATTAAAAAACGTTTTTCTACTACCGTGCGTAAAGTACGTACTTTACGCACTCCACGAAGTGTGTAAAGTTGTACTTTTTTTCACTAGTGCGTAAAGTAAAACTCTTTACGCACTAGTTAAAAAAAGTAAAATTTGACAAAATTTGTACATAACAACAAAATATAACGTTTTATTTTATATTAACATTTTTTTGCTATCTCCTTCTAAGACAAATAAATAAATTATTTTTCTTAAAATTCGCAAATGGAAAATATTCTAAACAGCCTGTAGGGATAAATACTTTTGGTAAAATGCCAAGTGTTATAGCAACGTATCTAAACTTGCCCAATCCAACGGCTTTTACAGGACACTGCTTTAGGAGGTCTTCAGCCACTATGCTGGCAAATTTTGGAGGAGACCTTCTAACGGTCAAAAAAACATGGAGAATGGAAATCATCTGCTGTTGCAGAAGGCTACGTAGACAGCACAATAACACAAAAAAACAAAATTTCTAATAAAATTTTGATGGATGACAGTATGCCATCCACTTCCAAACAAACAATTTTACCGTTGACAACTCTAATGAAGAATTAGTGGAACCACTCGACAGTGAAACTAGAGTTACACAAAATATTTCAACCTCTTTACTTGAAAAGGCCAAATCCATACCACTCGAAGCTCAAAATAGGGTTACAGAAGTAATATTACAACATTTTTCAAACTCTGTGCTGGAAAAGGCCAAAACCTTAAGTTTTGATAATTGCAATAATTGCACATTCAATATTAATATTCATAAGAGTTAAAAACCTTATTTTTTTAAATATTTCTTCATTTGTTAGTCATTTTGTTCTGTAAGAATTATAAATTTGTAAAGTTCCAATAAATTAATTTTTGTTGCTGTGTACAATTTTTGGCACTCTTTTACTTTTTTTCACTAGTGCGTAAAGTAAAGTACTTTTTTTCATTAGTGAAAAAAAGTAACTTTTATATTTCTAATATTAGTGGATTATGTGTACGGTAGTAGAAAAAATATTGTATGCCACTCGTGTGTAAAGTCCCTTTTTTGACTCATGTGATTCACATTCGTCAAAAAAGGGTAACTGTACACACTTGTTGCATAAATAACTATTTTAGCAGGATCATCATCAGTCCTAAAAACAAACAAATGATACTATCATAAATAAGTCAAAATTTTGTTTCTGCGACTGTCGTTTTTCTTATGGAATGGAATGTTCTCTAAACGATAAAAATTAAAGTGTATAAAAGAAAAAATGTACCTTCATTTCTTTTAAATTTTTCACGCCTTAGCAAATTCACCGATCAAAATATCAAGTTACATAGAAAGTAGAATCTTTCACCAGGTTTACAATACGGAACAGCCTTCATTTAGACTACTAGAGCGTTTATTTTGCAAGTCAGCATTTCTGCTGTCCACCAATGTTAATAATTATTAACGGAGTTAGCTGATGAACTTGACAAGGTTGCCGTGGTTTGATTTCTGTTCGATACCAGATAAAAATTATTTAAGTAATCGTTAATGTCATTAACATAAGTTTTAACGAAAGTAAAATTTGGAGTGTATATTTACAGAAAGATGGTAAAACATCGGTTACGTAAAGTTTGTAGAACATGTAAGAATTTGCGCCTAGACACGCAATAGTTGGGTCATTGTCGCATAAATAAATCTAGAAATAATTTTTTATTCATATTAAACTATGGGTTAGCGCGATAATTTATACAATACATTATAATAATTAACGTTACAACAACAAAAACTTTTAAATTTGCATATAATAGATACTATTTTGATAAAATCTATTGTTCCGTTTAGAGTTAATGTTGTTATAATGACATCGTTCAGCATTTGCAGGAGTTTTTTAATAGTAAATATTTAATATCCATCTCCCTTTAGAATCTTTAGATAAAGAACGTATTAACTTATTTAAGAATTATCTTTAATCTTATTTTCCCACAGTTCAGCGATTAACATGTCAGTTTTTCTTTCTTCTCAAATAGAAAATATCATGACGGTCTTAAATTTATGATCATTATTTTAACACATTACTAAGATGCCCCAGCAAGCTATGAAAAATACGGCATCTACAATCATTGTAAAAAACCCTTTATGTCGGTCGCATACCGTAAAACCGTGTAACTTGGTTTTATTAAAATCTGTGGACACCATACGAACATAAATATATGAATATTGATTTATACTCTTTGTGCGTTTGTATAAGTGTCCAACCTTTTGGGGAAGTAACATTATTATTTTATAAGTCTTAAGAATTACCAAATTTTTTAAAGTAACCCTAAAAACTGCAAACTTGGAACGACTACTTAAACTGAATGTTTGTTCCCTGTTTAAAGGCTGTAAGGTAACTTGGAACACAATATAGCTTCTTAAAATGAAATTCATTAAATATATGCACTTGGTGTTAGCAAAACCATTTTTTTTTTCTTGTAAAATCAACCAATAATAATCTATTTATTTATGAGACGTAACAATAATTCTACAAAACATCATATATTTTTTAAGGAATAACTAGCCTGCTCTAGGACTCTAGGAGTAAAGCAAAAAAAATATAAAACACATTTTCTAGGCATAAATATTAAACTGAACATTAAACATCAACAGGGGTTAAAAAACCACCCTGAAAGGTGTTTCTTTAGAGGCATTTGTTAACTTCTTGATGATTTGATCTTTATCTATTACACATATATCTTTCACTTGGGTATAAGTTAAAATAACTTTTGATAACCCGACTGGTCGCAGAAAACTACATTTATTATAGATTGTTTGCCAGTTTTTCCTTGAAGGGGGAAAGAAACTAAAATAAAGTTTTCTTCCACAACAAAGTTTTCATCATGGCAAACTTCGTCTTCTTGAAGTATATTTTGGTCATTGTTTTCGTTCTCTTGTGTATTTGCTTTACCGCTATTGTTCTCCTTATCTTTTTTCTCATTTACTACAGTGTCGTCATCTATAATATCGTCAAAATCGTCTGATCCCACTGAAGAGTCAGTATAGCGAAGAGACATAATAGCCTCCTTTTTTCGGAAGAACTGCTGTCATTAGCTTCATTTTCCTCAATTCCCGGTACTTTTTCCAGGCTCAGCGAATTCTTCTTTTTTTTTTGGTTTCTCGTTACCATACCGCATTGTATTAAGAATCAGAAAATGGAGTTTTTTATTTTATGCATTTGGACTCCTCGAGGAATAAAAGTGGAGAAAATTCCTCATAATGACAGCTTTTGGGAAGAAAAGATGCAAAATAAAATTCAAAATTTTTATATGCAATATGCCTTACCAAAACTAGTTGACAGTAGAGCTATTAGAGACATGGAAGTAAAGGACAGAATACCAAATAAATGGTGAGAAATTTTGTTTAATTTTTATTAACATGACGCAAGAAATCTAAAATTATTTGGAATATGTTTATTAAGAGTTACACTTTATTTATTTTTTAAACATGGTAGTAGGCGATTCATTAAAAATATGATTAATGTCTTATAATACGCCTTTTTTAATTTTAGATTTTTCCAGTGGCAGTAGCAATTGATGATATATAATTATTAATTATTATACCAAATATTTCGACTAATGGACCACGGTTTTAAGTTCACAAATAATGATATCAAGAATCTGATTCGGATTAGTAGTTTTACTACAAACGGTTTGATTCCAAAGCTAAGTCATTTACTGATATTGTAAAAGGCAGATGAGTAACTATCACATCAATAGAAATTGAAAATTCACATATGAATCTTTGTAATGTAATTATTTATAACGTCAATAACCGCATACGGTCAAAAACTTATTTAATTCTAAATATAAATTGAATTTCATTTAAAAAGTTCATTAGATTGTTTAGTTGTTGCAACTTTATTGCGCTTAAAGTACCGTTCAGAAAAAAATATGATTTGATTTATGGAGCTTAACTGAAAAACATGAACCAATGCTTTCATTCCAAAGAAAAAGTAGGTCAGTAAAAGAAATTTCGAACTATGATATCTTCAAGCCTTTATTTAAAACCTTTAAATATTAATATTATCAGAGTTGTCTTTACAAATTATTACATAAACCGAATAAAAGTTTGTTGACATAAACATTATTTTCATAATACAAATAAATATATTTCTGTTAAAGAAGGGTCATATTTTATTTAATATATTCATTTAAACATTCTTTTGTTTTTTATCTAGATGATATTGAATACTTTTTCTATATAACTTCTTATACCCGACAAAAAAAATTATTACCTATCACTTTTTTCTTTCAATTCATTTGTAGTTTTTTGCCCAAATGGATAAAAAAATTTACCTGTGCAACTTACAACTCGGCTGCTGATAGGCGTTAGCCAGTATAACAATAAGGGTTTTTTATGAATTTGTTTCAGAAACTGTTCCTAAGTGGTTCATTATAACAGATTATTTAAACATCAAAAATAATTTATGTTAAAATATAAATATTATGCTGAAACATTATATCTGATCGTTACATATTATAAAACTAAAGTACCTTTTCATTTAACTAACTCACTCATGGTTACCACAAGTTTAAATATTATAAACCCGCTTGAATATAAAAAACAACAGAAAAAGAAAATATTTTTTAAAAATGTAAAATGTCAAGAGATCGTTCATTGTCCGTTTACATTGATTGGCCTCCTGTATTTGTTACTTTAGCTTTTTAAATCGAGGACATCGGTGGTACAGGAGCGAATGTATTACTAAATCTTGGACACTTTTATATTCTCAGACAATCAATTATTGTAAAATAATTATTTTGTGCTATTGTGGAAAATTTTTAGGTTCCCTTGTCTCACGTTAGTCTTTAGAATATGTACTACCTATCTCTCTTATCTACATGCAATTGTTAAAATTATGAATGAATGCTGATTTTGTTTAGTCTCGGAAGTAATTTTTATACTTACTAAACTTTTATTGCGCCGCAAGTCTTTCAATTTGTATTGTAAATTTTCCTGGGGTTCCAAATATTCCCCTTTTTTTCTCCTCTATCTCTGCTTTTCCTTCGATCTTCTCACCTTTCGTCATTCTCCCTTTTCTTTTAGCTTGTTACTTTTTCTTATCTTTTATCCCTTCCCTATCCTTCTTATCGCCATCTTGTTAATTCCTAGTCCTCTCAACCACTTTTCGATCGATCACACCCATATTGTACATACTGTACTTTTGTGTCAGCATTAGGCATCCTTTTGCTATGTTCCTTCCTTCATTTGCGCTTACATCCAACATTACACACTACTTTCCTTCTTTCTCTTCCCATGTCCCTCTTTTCTTCATACTCCTCTCACTTTAATAGCTAGTCTTTAAATTTGTTATTTTATCAAATAGTTCCTCCTCTCGGATACCATGAATCGGTTCTATTGGTCATCACTTATCCCTCGCTCCCCCTTCAATAATTAGAGTTAATACTTTACCCTACCTTCCCCCTACAATTACGAACTTCCATTTTTCTTACCTGCGCATCTGATTGAAACATTAATCCCCTTGGTTTGGGTTTATTATACTTAAGGATTTTTTTTTAATTATCGCACTATCACTCAATTTCTAGGCTAGAACATTTTTTATATTTAATCTAGGACTCACTTTCCTCTTGTTTATATAACAATTTTCTTTATAAGTTTATAAACCACCAATTTTTTTTATAATTTTAATTTTCTATCTTGCCTTGTAACATACGTATTTAGTTGTGATGATGGCTCACTGAGGTCGAAACTAGTCGCCGCTTATACAAAAATAAAATTCTGTTGTAAATGTTTTTGAGTTTTCTTTCCTTACAAACGATTGCAACATTTGTGAAAATGATTGATTTACTCTACATGAAACTTTTTAAGCAACTCTCGTATAAAAATAATAACAATAATGAAACAAACAATATACTTAGATCTCGATCTTACGGTGTTTGATCTACTTTTGCACGCTCCATCGATACAGTTTTCACATTTCGCAAAGCTCTTTCCAATAATTCTAATGTATTACTCAAAAATTTATAATTTAACGATTAAAGATAGTGTTCAAGTAATTTCGCAATTATCGGAAAAAAAATGCGTGTTACGCTTTCAAATATAGTTTTTTGTTGGAAATGAATACATTTTGATTGCCTTAACCAAAATGGCACAGTAACATTACCATTTTAAAGAAAATCATTTACTCAATTAAAAATTGTACAAAGTCCTGACCAAATTTCAATTTTCTATATATTTCAATGGTTATAGTGAACTTTTAACGTACTTTTCTCTTAAAATAACATTTATTTTATACTTTCCGGAAAAGTTACTTTATAACATTATTTTAAGTCCGTAAAATGGCACTTTACATTATTACTTTACTTTCCAGTACTCTAAAACACGTTTAAAATTCTTACATTTTATTTAATATTTATAATTTATACCTATAAGATTATTTTTGAATAAAGATTTATAATGCTTGGCATTCTATATTATACTTTTCACAGTTTAACAGACCCCCTTAACTTTTATTTTCAATCAACATTTTTTTTTTTTCAGAATCAATAGGCTTCATCCCCTCATAAAGCTTGATTTTTCCTGAAAATTTCAATTTATTATCAATTTTAATTCCCTCTATAAAAGGGAAATATTGTAATTGTGAAAAAGTCACCTTCCGAGATTATTTCGTCACGTCACGTCACGTTTTAGGATCCCTAGAATACGAAAAACATGTTTCCCCATTCCGTCGGTCTGTCTGTCGTCTGTCAAAAACGGCTCAATACGTTTACCTGTTCTATAACAAATTAAAACAGCACTTTCACTATATTTTTGGGTTTATAAAAAAATCCAAGTACACCTTATAGCTATTAGTTAATGTGAAAGCTCTGGTCTTTGACCTAATAAGGAAATCCTAAATCTTCTATTGTTTAATTCATGAAAGGCTTGTATGTTTAGGATTTCATAAAAACATTGTTTTTGATTCTAAAAGTACGTAAAAATTTTTAAGATTTAAAATTAAAAATCCCAACCTTATTTATTTATTGACGTATTTGAGATAATGGCTTAATGGGTGCTATGATTGAACGTTTACGTTATCCGTAACGTACATGTTAGGCCGAGTTTTAACAGTAATGAGGCAAGTTTGTGTGATGGAAAACTGTTAAATTAGAACATAACAGATGGAAAATAACAGTAATGTGTTATGAAAGACTTTACATCATACGAATTTGACTCGTTGCTGTTAAAACTCGGCCTAACATGTACGTTACGGATAACGTAAACGTTCAATCATAGGACCCATTAGCTATTGACCGGGACATGATTTAGGGTTTGGCATATAACATAACATAAAACAGCTTTGGAAAACGCGACATATCGACATTCTCATTGAGGATCAGTAGGTTCTAAAAATGTAACTTACTTATATACCAAATATTGTGAATATCGACTGTCGCCTCTTTTTATTCGCTATTTTTTTTTTTAAATAAATTTTACCAATTATACTGCTCTAACTAGATAATTTTTATTATAGAGGATTAAATCATCTTATTTTTATCTGGAGGTCTATAGTTAAATTATGCCCCAACCTTTTGGAGATTCCCTGTATACATTGCAATGCAATAAAACAGGTCTGTTTTTTAAATAATTCATTCTATTTCTCTCGAAATAAACGGCGATTGGTAAGTCACTGTTTACCATTTCTTATGAATTCGAATAGGTGGCACACATTCTCGTCCACTTAGTGTTATATAAGTACCATTTACATACATAATAAAACTACGAAATTCATTCATTATGTACAATCATAAGAGAAGAATTCGTTAAAATTATTCACTTTTCTTAAAAAAATAACAATGTTATATTGCGTATTAATTTATTCTTATTGCTTATGTTGTAATTCACCGATTTTTATTACTTCTGCTATAATAAAAAAATATTTCGAATAAGCTTGTCTGTATTTTAAAAATTATGTATTAAAAAAGGTTAAAAATACCGTTACATAAAATAACGTGGTATGTTATGTTGGGAATGGGGTGTGAATACACTGCGACCTAAAACATCTATTTTGCCC